TGAGGGGTGGGGAGAGCTCTTTAAGCGGCGGCCACGCTAATAACCTGTCCAGGAGATGGCTCGTGGCAAATTGCTTTGTTAGTCTTGTCAGCGCGGCCGGGGCCGCCGTCAGCGCGCGCCATGGATCAAGATGATGAATCGCCCTGGATGGCACAGATGCGGGCGGCCGGAGGCCCGGCCCCGGGGTGGGGGTGGGGGGCGGAGGGGTCCGCAGGGGGCCGGGCAGCCACCATTAACTCCCGAATTAGCTCTAAGCCGCCCACCACCCAGCCACTGCCCGGGGAGCGGGCCTATGATGGGGAGACACCCGCGACCCCACCCCGAACTTGGACCCACGGCTCCCCACTCCGGTCCGCGAGAGGGAAGGAAAGGGACAGGGTCGGTGCCTCACCCTCAAACCCACTTCCCTCGCGGCCAGGTGTTCCGGCTGGGGCGGGGGGGGGTGCGCTGGGGGCGCCCAGAGCCCTAGGGAGGCTCCGTGTGTGTGTGTGTGTGTGTTGGGGTCGGTGGGGAGGGTCTTCAGCTTGGCATTCTCACTCAACCCAGTTCAGAGACCAGAGATGGTGGAACTGGAGACCGCTCTGGATCTTCGGCGGGGGAGGAGGCCTTAGGCACATCTGCTCCCAGATCTCTCAGTGAGGACAACTGGGACCCAGCGTCCTTGGAGTTGCCAGGTCAAATGGAAACCTGTGAATACCTGGCTTTCCTGAGTTTCTGAATTAACCTATCCTTTAGCCACACCCCCAATATAAAAATATTTCCCTAAATACGTAAACATACACACATGCACACTTAGGAATTTATAACCCACGTTAGCACACTGCATTCACACACACACACACACACACACACACACACACATATATATATATATATATTTGGTACTGGGACTTGAACTCAGGACCTTGTGTTTGCCAGGCAGGTGCTTATGCCACTGAGCTATATCCCTAAACATAGAGTGTAGGATAATGAATTTGAACAAATACACAGGCACATCCTGAAATGCCCAGCATCTTGCACTCTCCACCCTGGCACCCAGATAGTCTGTTAGGGGCTTCCTGGTTCCTTTGGGGATGTCTTTCTCTTCAGCCCTTTGAAGACAGCAGCCCCACTGTGGAGAAACAGGAACCCTTCTCCACTGCTGGTGGGAATGCAGACTGGTGAAACCACTGTGGAAATCAGTTTGGAGATTCCTCAGCAAACTAGGACTAGAGGTCCCATTCAACCCAGCTATTCCCCTTCTGGGTATTTTCCCAGAAGATCTAAAAATATCATATCACAGCGATATATGTGCACCTATGTTCATAGCAGCACAATTTGTAATTGCTAAATTGTGGAAGCAACCCAAATGTCCATCCACCGAGGACTGGATAAGAAAATTGTGGTACTTTTATAGAATGGAATATCACTCAGCTATAAAGAAGGATAAACTCGAGGCTTTTATAGGTAAATGGTCATACTCATAAGTGAAATAAATCAGACCTGCATGTGCAAGCACTGCATTGTCTCACTAGTGTAAAACCTGAAAGAGTTAATATAAACTCGGAGGTATGATAGACATTGTGAAATGATAGGAAAACACTCAAGGGTAAAGGGCAACTTGGATGTGGGAAAAGAGAAGGGAAAGAAGGAGAAATTTTGTATGTATGTATATACAGGATAGTTAACATAGATGATCTACTGTCTTCTATTTCTTTGCCGAAAGAAACTGTTAATGAGTCCTTGATTGATCAATATTGCATGTCTCTATCTGTTTTCATGAGAAACCACTTTGAAGATATCAATATGTAATACAGCAAGCATTGTTAATTTCTTACCACTTTGTTTGTAACTCTGTATTGTCTGTACTGCTTTTTTGCTATTTTGTAAAAGGTTGTCTGTCTGTTAATGTTTTCCTCCTTTTATTTAAAAAAAAAAAAAAAAAAAAAGATGGCAGCCCCAGGCCCAGGCAGGTAGGTCGGAAGGCTCCAGGAGCAGCCTTGTGAGGAAGGCCCCAAACCATTTCCATTTCTTAGCTCCTGTCTAGAAGGTGACATTTTCAAAGTGGTCTTGTTAAAACAGTAAAACTCACCCCCACTGTGGCACAAGCTTCCTGCTGTCCCAGGCCTCCCTTAGGGTCCATTCCCCTTCCCTGACCTTCTCTGTTTCCTCCCAGACTTTCTGTCCCAGTAAGGGAGCTTGCCAAGGATTTTGTGCTCCACCACCCACAATTCCACAATCAATGCAGAGCCCAACCCTGGGCTGTAATGTCTTTGAAGAAGCAGTGGCGACTGGGTGAAAGCAGCTCTCTCTGTCCATGGTGTTCCCTTGTAGGAAGACCTGTGTGTCCCTGTGGCAGTGGGTCTGCTTGGTAGTATGGGCTTCTCTAGGTGTTCAGAAATCCAAGTTTGTTTTTTTTTTTTTCTTTTTTTGAGGGTTTCCTTATGCAGTTCAGGTTGGCCTTCAACTCACTATGAAGCCCAGGCTGGCCTTGAACTCAAGGTAATCCTCCTGCTTCAGCCTCCTAAGTGCTGGGATGACAGGTGTGTGCCACAATGCCTCGCAGAAATCCAAGTCTTATGAGACTTTGTATGTATAATGAGGACTGGACATACTGGCCACCTGCTACCACCTTTAGGCTGGGGACCCTGGCAGCCTGGGATGACAGGCAGGCAAGGGTTTCCCAGGTGGATTTAGAGTGCAGGTGGCAGACAAGTTCCTTCTAAGAGCAAGTGCTTAGTGGACCCTGTGCTCCACCACCGGGACTCCTCAATAATCTCTGGCGACCAGCAGAATCTGTGCTAGCCTCAGTCACATTGGCCCCAGAGTCTGGGCAAGTGTGGCCTCTTCGTGTCCAGGGATACTCACCTTTCATCCTTCCCAGAAACCCTGTCCTGTCTGCAATGGAGAACTAGGGAAGGATGGGCTCCAGGCAAAGAAAGGGGAGCTGCAGTGGGAGTGAGATTCCTCCTGGTGGAGGGCACCTCTCAGCAAACCTGCCTGGCACCACGGTGGCTAGGACTCCACCTCTGTCCTACCACAGAGGGGACTTCAGGGTCCCCCTACTTAAGTGACTCCATGTGTGATGCCTCCACATGTACACCTATGCCCATGTCTGCATGTCACTGGCTGGCTGTATGTGAGTGCAGCGGGCCACAGTTTTCTCCAGGATGAGCTGTGTGGCTGCTTGTGGGTGCAGGGCGGCTGGGTGGAGGTCGGCGTGTTTCCCTCCACTCCCCCAGCTTGTGTGGTGCCCTGGTGGCAGGCGTGAGGATCTAAGCTAGAGATGCAGCCTTTCCTCCCCTCCCTTGTCTCCTCTCCTCTCCCTGCCTGCACAGGGCCAGGATCCCTAAAGAGAAATTAAAAGGTTATTTAAAGCCCCCGCCTCCACCTTTCTTTTCCCTTTAAATCGAGCCTAAACGGTTTTGCTTTGGCAGAAAAAATCTTTTCTAGAGATTTGGGGTGGGGGTGGGGGATCCTGGTGAGAGAGAAGGGTCTAAGCAGCCTAATCCTCTTACTGGCCCCCTCCTTCTCCCCCTTCTATTCTGAGGCCCATCCCCTGCCACCCCCCATGAGGCACGCAGTCCCTAACTATGGCTAAAGATCGGCCTGACCCTCAAATCTGCTGGTGGCCCCTCTGCCCGACTCAGGCCAAAATGCCTGAGTCCCTCAAGTCAGCCTGGGACTCTAAAATCCACTAGCAATATGGCCGGCCAACATCCCTGTCCTCCCCATACATTAGCCCCTAAAAATATAGCCAGCCCCCAGGAGCTGGAGCACTTGTAGATCAGAGGGGTGCCAGAGCCAGGGTCCAGCTCCCCTAATCCCAAGTATAAGATTTTGTGTCCACTCTGTGAACCAGCCACCTGGATTACAACCTCACTTGAGCTGAAAATGGCAAAGGATTGGTTACACACACAAAGGAAACCCTACAGTTAGTTATACATGGACTGATGGTCGCAGAGCACCAGTCACAAGGACACACTCCACATGTAAATCACAGTCACAGCCAGTGAGGCCAAGGCTGGTTGCAGAGTTCCAGCACACAGGGACCCCCCACATACACTTAGCCAAGGGGCGCCTTAGTGAGCGGCACACAGCCGCGTCAGAGCCTCTGCCTACTAAATAGCTGCCCGTGGCCGCTGGCAGTGTGGGGATAACGCGTGCCCTTGGCACACACCTCAGACACACACCTTTTGGAAGGCGGGGCCTAGCCTGGGCTGCCGAACATCCGGCTCGCTGGAAACCAGTTGCTTCTGGAGGGAGCAGGGCTTTGGCAGGATCGGAAGAACCCCTGCTCTTCGGGATTTTCCCTACCTGGGCCAGGCGTGTGTGTCTGGCTCCCTCTTCCCCACGACAGGTGACAGGTGCGCGTGCTGTGTTGAATCCTTGAGTGCCACACCCCTGCACCCCTGGCCTCCTAGCCTCTCCGACGACGACACGACGACGACGAGGGGCACCCTGCTGTTGGACAGGTGAGCTGCTGCTACGGTGCGCCCCTGTCTGGGCTAAGGGTGGGCGGTGAGTTCTAAGCGCGGGTTGTAGCGTGATGTGTTGGCGCTGGAGGTGACAGTGTTGCGTTGATGTGGGACAGATAGGGAGACAGAGAGAGGGGGGAGGGAGAGCGCACGCAGCTCGAAACCAGCCTTTAAGTAATTTTGGGGACGGGTGCAAACATGGGCGCTCCCAAGCCCCTGAAACGCACCCTACAGGTCAAGCTCTGGGGGAGACCCGGGAGCGGGAAGTTTCTCAGGACCTGTCGTCGCCCAGGGACAGGCGCGAGAGAGGCAGAGATCCGGGGATCGGGAGCTAGAAACGGGAACTGATGCACTTGGACAGGTCACAGATCCACAGACGTCTGACCCGGGCCTAGTGCTGCGCTGCACCACCGGCGGCGCGGGGAGGGACGGGGGCGGGAGCAGAGCGTGATTGGCAGCCACCAGGGCCATTAGGGAGCCTGCAGGCTCGCGTCGGGCGCCCGGGAAACGCCGTTTAAAACTCAAGCCCCTGCCACAGCGAGTGTAGATGGCAGCGGTGGCAGCGGCGCGGGCCCGGGAGACCAGGTGCGAGCTGCGGGGCTGGCGCGCCCGAGCTGGGAGGGGCGCGGGGACCGCCGGGAAGGGGGGGGGACCCTGGCCGCGATCCTCGTCCCGCAGTCCTCTAGCGTCCCGCAGTCTTGAACCCACTAGGAGGATCCTAAAGTTTGCAGGGAGCCAGAGACTTGGGGACAGACAGACAGACAGACAGACAGACAGACAGACTGATTTCGCAGAGACTGAGGAAGAAGGAGGAAAGCTAGAAAGACAGACTCGAGGAGAGACACGGGGAGCGACAGCCTGGGCTGGAAACGGAGTCAGAGAGCTCGCTACTCACGGAGACCGAGACAGGACTCGAAATTCCGCGGCAGAAAGCGCGCAGGGCGAGCCCTGGGCAGAAAAGCGCCGAGGCGGAGACGGAAGCCTCGGCGCACGGAGACGCAGGCACCCGCAGAGAACGCTTCGGATCCGTCACGGTTTTGCCTCATTTGGAAGATATTACTTCGCCCCTGAAAAAAATAAATACAAAAAAGGTTTGGATATTAAGCGGAGACAAATCCTTCTCAGTTTGGAAGGGGGCGGTGGGGAGGGGGGGTGGCGGGTAATGCGGAGCAGATGCCGCCCCGGGCGTCGCGGAGCCCCGGGCCGGGCTGGGGAGGGGGCACGGCCCGCAGCCCAGGTTCCCGCCCCGGGAGCGCAGGGCCGCCCACGCTTCCCAGCTTCCCTGTCCTCGCAGACCCAGAGGTGGCCCGGGCATTGCCCAGGATCCAGCTTTGGTCCCACCCGCGCAGATCTCGCTCAAACCCCGCTGCCACCACGGGCGCCTTTCTCCCGGGATTGTGCCTTTGCACGAATTCTTCAGCTGGGGGTGGTTCAGCGTTCACTGGCCTCTGCCCTCGTAGACGCGGCCTCTGATTAGGGTCCTCCAGGTGGGTGTTTGGGATGCAGAGGCCTTAGTTCCCCGGAATTCGTTTTGCCTCCCGCGGCCTCAACTGGCGTTGGTCTGGCGAGCGGCGGCGGGGAACCCAGGCTGGGGCAGCGCTGGGAACCGCTTTCGCGGCGTCTGGGGGAGGGGAGCGCCAGGCCGGCTCCTCCTGGGCCTCTCCCGCCGGGTGGCTGTAACCCAGTCCTGACACGACAGGCTACAGGAAACGGCTATCCGGGGTCCTGGGCACGGCGCAGGCAGAACTTTCTCTTCGGTTACAAGGTCCCAAATCGTGCGCAGGGACCGTGGCAGCCTCGGTGCTTCGGGGGAGCCTCCCCTCCCCAAGTTCGCACAGGGTCTGGGGGCCCCGACTTTTCCTGGACTCCGGCCTAACTCTCTGCAGGGGGCTGGGGGCTCCTCATGCTTGCGATTTGTCCAAGAAGGGAGTCCCGGATTAGGTGGCTGGCGGAGTCCGGGCTCCACGGCCTTTTCGCCGTCTTTCCGAGTTTGGAATTTCCCAAAGCCTCAGCGCGCGGCGCGGCGCCTGGAGCTCAGGCTCATAGCGAGTTCTGCCGGGGGCCGGGAAGGTCTTTTTCGTTTTAGAAAAGCCTGCGGAGGGCCGGAGCCGTCTGGGCCGTGCTGGTTTTCTGGGAGCGGGTCAGGTTTGGGGACGTCGGGGAGAGAGTAGGGCTTTCCTGACTCGATGGGCCTTGGGAGAAAAAGCCCGTTCACACCGCGAGGTTGTGTGCGCCGCTGCCACGGAAATCGTGCAAGTTTCCAGCTCGCCGCTGCCCGAGCACGGGTGGAAAGGAGACCCGTGTCCTTTCCTCTCGCTAGCATCCTGTGCGCTGCAGGCGGGTTGTTTAGAGTCAGGCGTCATTTCAGGAAATTCTGTGTCTGTGAGTTTTAAGCGGGATAGAATGGGGGTTGTTTTCGATTTTGCTGGGATTCGAGGTTCATTTCTCTGCATCCCCACTGCCCCCAGAAAGGAAAGGAAACTGCACTAAAGATCTGTGAATTTAGTCCCTACTTCCCCTCTCTGCGAACCAGCTGTGCTTATGTGTGTGTGTAGGTGGTCAGGAAAAAAATCGAATTTGCTGCCTAGTGAGAGCAAATTATCCAGATAATTGGCTCAAATTTCTCTCCTTTGTGGCTGGGATAGACACAGTCTTTGGACAAGAAACCAAGCATCACTACTCAGGAGGGGGATTCGAACCTTACCCCACCCTCGCGGACTATAGGAGCACAGACTCCTGCCAGGACCCAGGAACCTGGCTGTGGCTGCGCAGCCCCAGCGTGGAAAGTGGAACGGGAGAGCAAAGGTTCAGAGGCGTGGAAACCCGCCCCAGCGAAGCCAGGCAAAGGCAAGCACTGCGGGCCTCAAGACAGGCTCTTTCTGATGGGTCACCTTCACAGGAGGGGTGAGTGTCTGGGGACTTGTGCGCTCTCCTTCTGCCGCGCATATCCATGATGTGGACTGGCCGGGGAAAAAGGAGTCATTTCTCTGGTGGAAGCAAGTACCCTGTCTACTACACACACCAGTGCACACCCTACACCCTGAGCAGTAAACGAAGTTTCCACCTTAACCCTGGCGGCTGCCCATACTTCCGGGGCCTGGAATTAGGATGGATGCTGGTTCTTGCTGCCACCCTCCTGGAGCCGGTTGGGTTGAACCACCGGAGCTCCGTCTAGACAGTGGGTTTTGAAGGCAGAGGGGGAGAATCTGATCCTGGATCATAGCCTCCATCTCTAAACAGACGCAGCGCCCTACCACATTTGGCAGACACACGTGCTGATGGCCACACAGTCAGACTCAGGGGTTAGGCACTGGACTAAGGGTGACACTCAGACGTGCTGAGGTGAGAATTCGCAAAGGCAGATCTTCTGCATGTACAGAAGCCCTTTCAGAGAGAGAGTTACAAACACACAGGTGCCCCTTAGGGTGACGCCTTGAGCACCTGCAGGGAGCGGTCCACAGGCAGAGTCTACACCTGCGCGACCCGCGTTCCCTATCCTCCGGCGCTGTCCGGCCTCCCTGCTCATTCCGCTGCGGGGTCTTGGGTCCTCTGGGAGGCAGGCTCTACCTCCCCCGCCTTCCCATTCTACCCGCCTCAGCCCCTTCCCCTCGGTCCGCTCGGCCGCCCCGCAGTGCCCATGTAAATGACAGCAATAAATATCTAATCAAGGCCCGGGGCGAGGCCGCCGCCGAAGCCCATTACCGAGCGCGGGCGGGCAGGCGAGGTGGGGAGGGGCGCTGGCTGGGCGAGCTTGGGCGGGGCTCTTCCGTCCGGCACATTCGTCCTGCGCTGAGTACCCTCGCGTCCGACCTTGCGCGATCTCAGTTTCGCCTTCTGTGAGAGGGGCCTGCGCTGGGCTCCGTACTGCCAAGGCTCTTCAGTATCCTGTCCCGGCCTCCGGCCATGGCCACCCAGGCAGGTTTACTCCCCGGTCCATTCTTGGGACAGCTTATTTGACTGCACCTAGCGCTGCCTGATGGACGGGATGTCCCAGGTCATAGACGCCCCTCAGCGTTGCTGGCGATCTTTGGACTTGAGAGGGTTTGAGCCGGCAAAGCAGAGTCCCCTGGATCCTTGATCAGTTGGCCTGAGTGCCTTGCACGGATGGCTCGCCCTTTCTGACCAGTCTTCCGCCGCTGTGAGCACTGCTTCGGGCTACCTTGAGGTCCCTGAAGCCCACCGAGGCTCGAAGCGCCTTGCAGACTCCAGGGCTCCGTTTGCCAGGTCTGGTTTGCGCCCGCCGCGCTGGCCACCGTCTGTGGCACCCAGCGCGGCCACCGCGCACCGCGCGCCCACACCGCAGCCTCCCGTGAGCGCTTCCAGCGGTCTGGGCTCTGGCTTGGGCCGGGAGCACTGTCTCCACAGCGGGCTCCACAGGCCCTGTTTCTGGGCTGGCTGACGCCCGGCTCTGAACAAGCCCAGAGCAGCTCGGAGCAGGACTGTGCCAGGGCGAGCCCCGACGGTGGAGCAGCCCCTCGGTGCCCGGGGGAGGCCTGGGGCACCCCGGAGCCCGACCCTGTCGTCTGGTCGGTTTCCGGCTGCGTTCAGGTCCCCTCAGCCTTCCTGTCTGGTGCTGTAGTTGCTTCAAGGGGAGAGAAGTGGAGAATCAAGCAAATTCCCAGACAGCTCCACTCCTGGGGCCTGTGGTCAGGCTCTTTGGCCTCCCTGGTCGCCAGCACGCATTCAACAGCCAGAGCTGGACCGAATTGGAGAAAAGAAAAAACAGCTATAAAAACTGGCCTGTCCCATCTTCTCTCCCTATTCCCACAACATTTCGCTGTTTTTTTTTTTTTTTTTTTAAATTAACTCCAGCCGCCTGATTTCTCCGCACGGCCAACATTAAGGACCTCGGAAACGGAGGATGGCAAGCGCTAGCTGAGGGGCCTTCTTCAGTCTTGGCCCATTAGCCTGCGGGGGGCTAATTACCCCAATTAGCGGCTGATTTATAATTAATGGCTCGGACCGACGGATAATTGGATGTTAATGGATAACAGTTTGTGTAGGGAACTAAGCGCCTGGGCTCCTCGAGGGGGTGGCAGGCCTGGGGTCTGTCCTGAGACCCTCCCGGGACACTGGTGCTCTCCCTGCTGACGTCCCTCCTTCATCCCTGAGTCGGGAGGGGAGGGAAAATCTCCTCTGCGGATTTCACAAGCTCTAGGTGCCCGTTGTGCAGTCTGGTGCCCTATCTGATCTGACCCTGGTGAAACCGTGCGCCTCAAGGCCCCCCCTGCCTGCAGTCCTTGGGTCCCACTCCAGGAACTCTTCAGAAACCCTCCGCTGAGGAAGGAGGATGACTGAGACTGTTCTACCTCAGGGGCCCATTCCCTCCCCCTGTGGATCGGGCATTGTAGGACTAATGGTGGCGCTATTGGGGGAGGGGTGCCCATATCAAATGCCACTGGAGGGTGGACATGGCCCCTGTGAGAGCAGTGGCCATGATTCAGCGTGGAACAAGGGCAAGGGCTCAGTTTGTGCAAGGTCAGGGCCACAGATATGGCCAGCAGGTGACTTGGCTTTATGTGGGGACACTGGATTTCCCTTGCTGGGGGGGGGGCAGGGAAGCAGGGTGGACAGAATCCATGGTC